TGGTCTGTCCCACGTCCATGCAATACTGCTGATAGCGTCAAGAGGGGCTACCAAATACCGGGCGGGTCCCCTGACCCCTGGCTTAGGAAGCCCCTAGCACACTGAACAAGGTGTGGCAAACTGGCAGCTGCCCTCTGTCACCACTCGACCCGCAGCCCCCACTCTCCACCAGGCACTTGGGACTCAGAGTTCACACCGGGCTCCTTTCTCTTGTTCAAATTCGCCCTCAATGTCCCCATAGGAAGTGCCCCCTGGCCTTGGGGCTCCTGGCCTGACTCTGGGTGAGGTGGGGCTCGGCTATCCTGCACTTTGCCACTCAACTTCGCCCCAGAGAGATCCGCTCCGCCGCCATCCACCACCACCACCCCACGCGACGCTTAGGAGTATTGTAATTATTATGGTTATTATTGTTGTTGTTCTTTCCTTATCCCCAAGCCTAATAGTCACGGCTCCTGTTTCCCATAAATCGTTCGGACTAATGAGTCACAGAGAGATGTTGCCCAGGTCGCTCGCTCTGCAGTGGCCGCCGCCGCCGCCGCCGCCGTGGCCTCAGTCTCCGCGTTCTTGGCGCTCGCTCGCTCCCTCGCTTGCCCGGCGCGAGTGATTTATGAACAAAGCCGCGCGCCCGTCCTGTGGTATCTCTGCAGCCTTCCCCAGCGTGAATCAGAACATTACCAACTGTCTGCGCATCCGTCCCACTTCATCACCAAAGCCAGGACGTGACCGCAGAAAACCCGAGCCCGAACTCACGTTTCCGAGGTCGTGGAGCGCTCCGCGGACTCGCAGAAACCGTGCGGGAAAAAGTCCCAAGACCCAACGAGAGCCCGCCAGGTCCAGTCTTTCCCACTGTAGGGCTCTCTCCTGCCTTCCAGGAAGAGTTAAATGCCTTTAAAGGTATATCTGAGGGTGCGTGTTTTTTAAAAATCAAATTGGAAGTTGGAGTCTCACTTCTGAGAGATTCATTCCTACTGAGGCCCTGACGACTCCGATCCATTCCTGACAATCTGCATTAATTATTTAATGAGTCACGTGACTTCAAAGATTACAATTTCAATATCTCCCTCCAACAGGCGCTATACACCTTTATCAACAGCAACCAGGGTCCTTGTTTGGCTTTTTTGTTCCCCGGGCCTCCAGAGAGCATTCGCCCTTGTCCTGGTTGGGGCAAGACATCACCATCCGAATACCAGAGTGAGCATAGTGGAATTAGTCATTCTGGGATTAGGAGCATCATGGACTGTGGGGAGCTCACTGCTCTCCCAAGTACCTGACATCCGTCCTCTTCTGAATCCAGTAGTCAGCCTACCTGTCTGAGATCCATGACTAGGGCGGTTTGGTTACAAAATCTCCCCAGGCAGCTTTGATGGTGCATCAGGCAAGAACCCACCCTTCTTTCCCAGCTGCACAGACTTGTGGCCATCTGCGTGAAGTGTAAGTTAAGATGCACATGTCCATTTCCAGCAGAATAGCTTCTGCAGAGGAAAGCTGCCTATGCACTTAACCCTATCCACGGTGAGACCAAAGGCTGTATTCAACCAACACACTCATTAACACAAGGAACTTTATGTGTGTGTGTGTGTGGGGGGTCACTCAGGTGCCTCAGTTTCCTCATCTGGAAATTGAGAAGATTGAAACAAAATGGCCTCCAGGTCTCTTTCACCTTGGACATTCTTTCAATCTGGGAATCTTTCAGCCTCAGGAATCAATCCCAGAGAGAGTGGGGCTGTCCTGAAAGGGGGGAAGGGGTCCCCAAGTTTGGTGCCTTCAGAAGAAGAAATGCCAAAGTTCCAAGCCAGAAGTTACAGACTAGAAGGTTTTACCACAGATCCAGCAGCCTCCCTGATGCTATCAAGAAGACAGAACCCACATCTCTTCTTCCTTTTATTGTCTCCAGCCCACACTCTTTGAGACACTCAGTAGAGTTATTCTTGGGCCAGTGTATAATATAGAGAAGGGGCAACAAGAGCAGCAGCTGGGAAAGGTGAACCTGTATTCTTCAATACAGGACTGTGTCTAGGGATGCAGAGTCCAAGGGATTGCCAAGAATGGTCTAATGCCTGCACAGAACCCACTCATTCTGATGGGAAGCCCTAAGTTTCTGCTTGCTGCATTGATTCTTTGGGGCTTTTCTTTCCTTCTGTTCTAGAGCTGCTGATATAGAATTGCTAGGGAGAAGACAACAATGAGAAGAGCAGCACAGTTTAGAAGCTTAGGAAATTAGGGAGACAGAGGAAAGATGGTGATAACCCCCCTATGGGGAGAAGGCTGAGAGGTGGGAAAATGGGGCATGCTGGGACAGCTGGGTATAAAGTCTTCGGTGATGCTGTGAGGAGGGCCCCACCCTCCACCATATATCTAGGTAATCTTCCCATGAGCTCCATCCTGGGTATTAAGTACTCTACTATGCCTGTCACAGTTGAATTCCTGCTGTAATAAAACACCGGGTATATCGTAGATTTCAGCAAAACTAGGGAAGAAAGCCTGCAAAGTGCCATTTTTCTTCAAGGGGGAGAGTGTTAAGTACTTAATTCAAACTGTGACCATTAAAGTGTCTCCTATCCGATTTAGGTTGATTTCAGATGTTGACAAAACTTTTATCTCTGGAGTCATGCACAGCTTGGCTCTGTGACTAAAGCAGATGAGTGTGTATTAGAGGGAGGGAGGGAGAAAGAGAGAGAGAAGAGGAGAGCATGTGTAAGGGTCATTTTGGTAGGAGAATTATCGAGCTTACACAAAATACTGTCTTTAAAGGTCAAGGGTTTGAGGGGCCAGTAGAGTTTGCTTTAAAAAAAAAAAAAACAATTAATGAGATAGAAAATTTGTCCTCTGGGTGAACTCTTATGGTTGCCCTAGCAAAGGGCAGACAATGCATGATTTTGAAACACAAAGTGGGATTTTCTAAGCTGTTATAACAAGCTCCCTTAAAGGCCAAATCTGAAACAGGCAAAACACTGTGAAGAAAGTATGCAAACGTCTGTATTATTTTTGATAATTTTGGTTTTGTATAACTCACCAATAACTTAATAATCAATACAGTTTGGACAAAAATGCCATTTTATGCTGGAATATCAGAAAAACTATCCTGATCCTCTCATCCTTTTTCTAGATATGAGCAAGTGAAAGAAAGTTACCCACTTTGCCGCCATACAACTGCCTCTAGCATGAAACTAATGAATGTCCCCATACCCCTCCTTCCCCACAAAGAAGAAATATAAGAATTTACCTTAAATGATGATAATCTGCCATTTGAGGTTGTGCAGCTCCACACTCAATTTCCACCATGAGCCTAGGCATTTTATTTTTAGCAGACAGCCAAGATGCTGCATCTTTGCCTGAGACCACATTATTTGCAAGAAGATCCCTCTCTCCTCCACAGACTTTTCCCAGAGAATGCCTTTCAGAATTGCTGTTGAATCACAAAGAAGTATTTATTGTATGAGGTGATTAATGATTCCTGGGAAAATTGCTATTTTCAGCGTGATTTAATTTCGTTTTACAAGTACGTGTAGTAGGGGGAGGGTTAATAAGTTTCAGCAGCAGTTGCATTGCCTCCAGAAATCTCTGGCACCCGTTTGCACCTTATAAAATGCACTTTATGCTAGGTTTTTCCTGACTTGGGAAGGCGTGTGCCTATTTGCCCCTGAATTTCTTGGCCACTCAGAGACTGGTGCTCACTTTCCTCTCCAATCTGTTTGTAGGTAGAGAACTGATCATCCTTGCTTGTATCATGCACAGGGTAGCAGAGGTGAAAGGGGTACCAGCACCGACACTTGCTAAGGGTTTTGCCATGGAAAATTTTTTCTGATGGAAAAATGTGTTTAAAATTCCTTTGACTTTGTAGTAGTAGGTGAACACCCCCTCCCATTTCTGCTAAAATTACTATATGACCTAAATACTGTACTTTGGGGGGTGGGGTGGAGGGCAGCTAGCCCTTACGGTGATCTGCACCCTTGACCTTGATGTTATAACACTGCATTCTAACTAGCTGAGCTAACCAGTCAGCTCTAAAACTGTACCTTTTTTTTAAAGATAAGGTTTAAAAGACAGTTCTAATATTCTGGCTAGTGTGAATTGGTTTTCTGTTATCTTGTTGCAGTGTGTCCCCCTGCAGTGAGCACCAAGTCAAAATCAGTAAACAAATATTAGGGTTATAAAGATTGAAACGTGGGCTTTGATTTTTGACCTTTTGGATCTTGATCTCTGGGATAGAGCAGAAAGATTCCAAAGCATTTGAGGAAAGTGACCCTAGTTCAGAGTTTGGCTTTCTTCAGCAGTGACCTCACCCAGATCTGATTTACTTGGGGGTACATTTTGGTGTGTCATTAAGCTTTTTCTTTCTTCAGAAGAAACTCTGGAGGGTATATTGGGAAAATTCACTATGTTGTGAAAGCTCTTCCTTCAAAAAGGAGGAGCAAGCAAGAAAACAAAAATTCCCAAGTGGTAGTTAGTGAAGAGGACCTTAAGAACAGCCAAGAAACAAAAAGCAATCTCAGCCCTTTGCACAAACTATTTTTTATCTCCAGAGAAACAGGCAGATTAAGTGTGAAGGTGCAATAAATACCAAAGGGACCACTGCTTTCCAAGTATGCTCAGAGTTCAGTGTGTAGAACAGCTGCAGAAACTCCTGGGCCTGCAGCACCGCATGGTTTCAGCTTTCATTGCAGGGAAGGACACGTTTCTATGCCTTACAGAGACTTGAAGCCTGAAAGCCTGGCCAAGTTTGGGAAGAAGAGGAGCCCTCTCAGAGCTCAAGAGCCTTCCTGCTCTTTGGAACTTCTCCATAGTGGGTCAAGCTTGACAAGAGTTCAGCTCAAGTCGAACACACACACACACACACACATTCATACAAATTATGTCAGCAGTCAGAATCCAAGTGAACACAACTCAAGCCATCTACAGGATTTTTACATGCAAGGTCAAGCATCTCAATCCAGAGAACTTTTGCGGATTTTTTAATGAAAAACTTAGGAAACACAAATCTGTGTCTTAAATTTTTAATGTTTTTTTAAAATGAAGTTTATTCTTATCACATGGCTTTCTATATAGCCAGATCACAATTTGTACAGTTGCACATAGGTCTAAATGTACTCCCCTTTTCCCCAAGATCGTGCCCCAGAATAAGACAACAATTATCATTATAACAATACCTTAAATAAATGCAAGGAAGGGAAACATGTCACACCTACCATAAAGGTCTACACATTTTGAGAATTAAATAATCTTGTGAGGTCCACAATGTCTACTCATTTATTCAGTTCAGTATAAGCTTGTATGAGCTGCCTTAATGGGGGAGGGGGAGATAAGGAATGTGGAAAAGGGTCTGTTTTCTTTTGCTTGCAACAAATGTACAATTACATGTCCCCAGTCAGCATGGACTGTCCAGCTGACTGTAGCCATCTCAAAAGCATTTGATGCCAAGTGGTCCTTCTCAGGCATCTAAACCTGGCAGCCTTGTTCAGGCCAGCAGGTTGTTCTACAAGCCAGCATCCTGGACAACTGTCCTCTCTTGAGTGGCAACCAGCACACACTCTTACCGGGATAATGTCTTCTTTTTGGTTATCCTTTTCACCAAGTTGGGTTTTGTTTTGGTGTCTGTTATGGTCCAGACGGGGATGAATGGGCGGGGGAAAAGGGGAAGGAGAAAAGAAGAAAAAAACAGGTAAGAGATTAGGAATTGCTCTAGGTCTCTAGAAGATTATATGGAGGATGGAACGGGTGTGGAAGTGCCCGGGTGGGGGTGGGGATGGGGGTGCGGACTCTGAGTTTGTGCTTTCCCTGGCGGGCCAGCAGAGGCCGAGGCCGAGGCCGAGTTGGAAGACCGCATCTTGGTATTGGGCAGTTTGTGATCTTTCTTCCACTTCATCCTCCGGTTCTGGAACCAGATCTTGACCTGGCGCTCAGACAAGCAGAGAGTGTGGGCGATCTCGATGCGGCGCCGCCGGGTCAGGTAGCGGTTAAAATGGAACTCCTTCTCCAGCTCCAAGACCTGCTGCCGGGTGTAGGCGGTTCGAGAGCGCTTGGGCTCCCCTCCGTTATAACTGGGGTTGACTGAATGCCCAGAACCCCGAAAGAGAAGGCCAAGACAGAGGCAGTGGAAGAGAGAGAAAGGAGGAGGAGAGAGAAGGTGGGGTGGGGAAGAGCAATCGGACATCATCATTATATAATAACCTGACACCAAGTTCACGCAAGATACATAAAAACGGCAAAGAAAATGTTTCACAGGCTATTGACAACGGGAAACACCCGAGAGCCATAAAGAACGGCGCTGGGCACTGGGGCTGAAGAAAAGCTTCAAAGACACATGGCCTGAAGCCTCTGCCAGGGCAATTAAATTTATGGGGGCTATAATTACTGCCCTAACGGTTTGGCGTCTCGTAAATCTCCTGATAAAGGGACCCCGGGTACAAAAGGGTTCTCACGTTGGAATCAGGCGCTGGCTGGCGCTCACGCACCCACATCCCACTGCAGCCCAAGCCAGATGGGGGCTCCCCTACCGAGGTCCCCTTCCCCCGGGCCTCTCCCTCCTGACCCCCGCCCCGACCCTCCAACCAGGGCCCAGCCCCAGCCCACCCGCCCGCGCCTCCCCAGCGGCGCCACGTACCGGCGCTGACATGGATCTTCTTCATCCAGGGGTACACCACGGGCTCCTTGCCCTTCAGGCCCGGCGGGCTCTTGTCGGCCAAGAGCAGCGGGCACGCGGGGGCGCTGCCCCCTACCGGGACGCCCGGGGTGGCTGGGGCCGCCTCGCAGCGGCGCGGGGTCG